TGGACTTATGAACGTGGCGTGGCTGGGGACTGGTCCGACAAGACCGTCAAATGGGCATATGTAAATCTATGACGATCCCATGACGACGGAAAATGACCAGCGAGTATTATGGCTGCCAATTCTACCACTGCCTTGCGGTTGAACCTAAGGAGGTCAAAAGTTGGAAATGACAGCTTAGACAATAGGCTATCTGGCAGCTGGAGGCTTATCTGTATCCACTGACGCCATGCCATGTGACTTTCCGAAAATTGGTCTTTTCTCGAGTAGGCAGGTTTCTGCCGTTCACGGATTGGTTGGAACCTTGGTGTGTTTGTTGCCATAAAATTTGGACAAGAAAAAACATGTAAGGAATTTTGTTTGCGCTTCAAGCTCGTTAAATTCTGATGGCGTAAATGTATCTGCTCGAACAAGTCTACAAGTTATTCATTATGATCATCTTCACCAGAGAGCCGGCAAGTCTGGGCCAGGAAATTCCAGCTCCCTCTGTGCATAGCCTTCGTTGACAGCGAGAAAGCGTTCGACACTCATGAGTACAACGCAGTGTGAACTGCACTGACAGGGAGGGGGGGGGTCGACACCAGTTACACATTTTGCTATAAACTTTGCCTGCATCACAGATGTCGCGTTGCATGACTCCTACGTACGGATTCCAGTGGAGAAGGGCAAGCGAAACAAGGGAACACTGACCTCTTTTTCAGGCGGATGGAAGGGATTAGCACTAATTATGAACAACTAAACCAGGTGAGGATCACTTATGATGGACGCTGTTTGCGGAAATTGTCAGTCAGCTACAAAACCAGAGCTCCAGAGAAACGGTGCAGAAGCCGGACTGAGAAGCAATCAATCACGGGCGAAATCATTGCGCTCCGATGCTTTGAGATGGCCAGACAGTGTTGAATAGCGAAAAAATATAAGTCGATAGATGGAATTACCTGAGTCAGAACTCAACATTCGGCTTGATCAGGCTGGTGACATTCTACGAAGAAAGAGGACCAGCTGGAACATGTGCCTTTCGATGAAGGACATTATCCTCGGCAACTTCAGGGAATATATTCGTACCCACCTCTTCAGTTCTACTGTCCTACCGGCGATGCTGTGTGGGTGTGAGAGCAGGACACTCAGAAAATCCGAAGAGCGCTAGCTGACTGTCACAGGAGGAACTATGAAAAAAATAATATTGAAAATGTCTTGTAGCGACCACATCCCAAGCAAAGTTATCAGACTTCCGATGGGAGTGAAGGACGTCGTCATCCTCGTTGTTGAAAGCAGAACGGAGAAGCCGGGAACACAACTCCGCTCGTCGCTGGTAGGTGGTCAGCGGTATTCGTCTACTGGCGGATTTTCTCGATGAGAAGATTACATGGGTAGTCGCGAAGACCGCCTTTGGAGGGAGAAGGCTCAAAACTACGAGGAACTGCCGCCGTGTTTCGGACTGTGGGATTCATCGCTGATTTCCGGCCTGTCGAATGATCACACTGCATTATAA